GTCTTATTGAAGAATGATATATGACCGTGATATACTCAATTTAATAATAATGATATATCGTCTAGTACATAACATTCCTTAGATATTACCAGCCAAAGTTTAATTTTCCAAATTCATAAACTTTGAATCAATTGCGCGGGTTAAAGATATGTTTCAAATTAATCTTTCGTTGCCAATTATTATTGGATTAGACAATTAAGACAATATAATATTACTATTACAGTACGATCAAATGCCTTTTATTTTCCCCCATACAAAATTGTCCCAGCCTAATGTATACAGTGACTCAAACAAATAAACACGGGTTGACTTCCTCCAATATTCGATATGTTTTTCGAGCATAATTTTTTTTTTATATTCGTAATATTTTTCCATCCAAATATTTTTTATTATTTTTATATAAAAAAACAATTAATGGTCTCTTAAATGTCTCTGTGTACCTTTTGTGCAAACGCCAGCTTCTGCAGATATCTAATATGTCTGGAATAAAATTCTAAGTTTCTAAAATTTTAGTATTAGCAAAATGAAATAAGTTCAGTTTATCAAGTGAAGTCACATCATTATACATAATAAATTTGAATTCAGAAAACCTCGATGAAAATTCGTTGATGAAAGAATTTATTACCAAAGAAAACTCTTCAGTGACTCTTGGTTATTTGGTTTTTCATCTAAATTCAAATCTGATTTTAAATTTGTTGAGTTTGGCAAACATTTGCAATTTTTGGACACAATGGGGCGTATTCATAGTCAAAATAAAGACGAAGCTAAAACTAGTTGCAGCTTTTTCACATAATTATCAATGTAATATGTGCCAAAGATGCTGCTACTAAATTTAGACTTTATTTCAACTATCGACTTCATTTCGACTATGAATATGCCTCAATATCTTCACCAATAATTTTCAGTTTATCATAAACAGCGCGAATGAGATCTATGCAAAATAATTACAACAGTTTTATTAGCGCCTGAAAGCTTTATCGCCAATTTTGCAAGCCTCGTATAAGCCTCAAACCTTCGTTTATTTAATGCCTCCGAAGATATGAGGCTTATTATTTTTGAGAACGGAGGCCATTATATCACCAAGGGAGGCGAAGCCATGCTTTTCGCACAAAGCTTATTGATTAATGATGTAACAGAACTCAAGAATCGAATGTCTCATGTGAATTTCTTAAATAAGGGCAAGATTTTATATTGTTTTTTAATTTTTAGCACTCCTCACACATTTGTATCAATTTCAAGTGAAAAGTTTGCAGTCGGCCGCAAGCAGCGCATGTATGTACATTACGGTGGTCCAAAAACAGTAAAGTCGGAATTGTAATGCCTTCACCCCCTATGATTGTTCTATATCGAAAAAAGTAGACCCCCATTTTTTTTTTTTTTTTGAAACCCAAAAATATTTAGAGGCCGCTCAAAGCGCTCAAAGTTTTCCATGTATTTTTATATGGGAAAAAACAACTTTTCGTAGAATTCTTGGAAATCAATAGTTTTCGATCGGAAAACTCTGGTTCTCTGCAGGAGACTTTCAATAATAATACCCAATTGTTTATTTAGCCATTTTTAATACTAACGATTTTTATTGGTCCCCCCATTGCATTTTTCGAGGTTTTCGTGGGTTTTTGGCGGACCTATAAATAATAGTTGCAATGAAAAAATGGTTGAATAAACATTTGAGTATTATTATTGGGAATCTCCTGCAGATAAACAGAGTTCTCCGATAGAAAATTATTGATTTTTAAGGATTCTATACCATTTCCATTGTTTTTTCCCCATAAAAAATACATGGAAAACTTTAACCGCTTTGAGCGACCTCTAAATATTTTTTGATTTCGGTATAGAACAATCCTAGGGGGTGAGAGCATAAAAATTCCGACTTTACTTTTTCATACGCACCCTAATGATGTACATTATACATATGAATTTCAATGACTTAAATAAAGAAAACGTTTGAAATATTTATGTAGAATCAAAAGAGGTATCTAGAAGCGTTGGTTTACGGCAAAGAGATTAAAATATGTCGGGTGAGAGGTTTAGTTTTAGAATAATGTATGCATGCGCATACCTATTTATCTAGACCCTGTGTACAGATGAGAGTACGTTATTTAAGAAAAAATACTCCAAGCAATGGGTATTATAATGATAACAGAAAAATGAAATGCAAAGTGACTTAAATAACTAAAGGCGTTTTCTTTTCTCGAAAAATGTTACCTTCTTATATGGCAACATTTTAAAGAAAGAGCACGCAATATGAATGTGATGATGCTGAGAGAAGAATACGAAAACGTGGCAGCCCTAGCGCAGGGCAGAATTTCGAGAAAATAAAACTCTATAAGTACGTACGTATTTGGATGCCTCGCTCGTTTATGTAGATATGTTGTTATGGACATATTTCAAGAATCTGCTTGCCAATGTGGTATGGATATTTTGGAGTGGAGAACGATGACTTCTAAATAACAAATTGACAAATTATTTCATTTAAAACCTTTTGTTTATTAAAATTTCCACCTGACACTTTTATTTACGTTAGCTCTGATCCAATACTTTTCGTGTAAAATCCTGTAAAAATGTCAAACAGCAAAATCACTGAAGTGAGAGTAAAAAGTGAGTAACAACAAAAAGTATGGGAACGAAAAAAAAGCATTTTTCCTGTAAAAAAGTCAACCAGTGATCGCTTGACACTTTTCATGATTTTACTAGAGAAAAAGTTCGGTTAAAATCTTGCAACTTCTTCTCTACACAACTCTCCAAAAATCGTTCTCAATAACAGGATTTTGGAGGAATTTAGAGGGCGGGATCATTTTTCCTGTAATTTCCTGCAAGTTCGTGTAAAACGTGTAAGTTTATGGAGTACTGCATCATTCACACGCACAACCGGAAACGAGTCGAATCCAATACAATTTTGCGACAGTTCTATTTGAGGTTATTTCATGCGGTTATCGGAGGCTATCGATGTTGGTGTATTTTCGTAAAAACAAAGGAATACTGCTTTAACTTGAATATACATATGTATTTCGAACAATTTTCCGATTTTAAGCATTGAAATGAGAAAAATACACTATTTCTCGATATACGGCCATTAAGTAGTTGAATTCATACTATTATTTTAGACTATTATTTTTACACTACGAATATATAATTTTTACTTGAATGTTCAAATGTACACTACTAGCACGTTTTTTGTTTTAATTTTCGCAAAATTTGCCACTTAAAAAGTGCAAATTACGCGCACAGTAAAATTGCAAGCTTTTTAATAGCCGGCCGGTGCATGCTTGCATTTTACAGCTATTCGATCACAATTGCAGTTATAACGTGTTCATACTTATACAATTTCTTTATATGTGAGAAATTCTAGCAAAACAGTGATATACATACATATGTATTTACATAAACGAAATTCGCCTTGAGCGATTGCGAGATTGATTTCATGAAAAAAAAACTGGTTTAATCTGCTAAAAACTTCATACGTCATAGCAGCTAAGATTTAGTTAAATATCCTAAGAAAAATTCAATGTCAAATAATATGCTGAAATAGGGAAAATAGCCCTAAACAATTTTTTTTTGACATTTCTGTACTTAACTTTCCTCTAATTTTCCTTAGCACTGCAAAACAAAATAAATTTCAGATGATAAATTTAATTTATTGAGTTAAATTTTTATGATAAAATAAAACATAACAAAATCCTTGTTTATGTAATAAAAGTTGAAGTTTTATTTAGAAAAAAAATGTATGTATATCTACATAACTAATAATGGTTTGTAGTCGTTTGCTTTTTATTTAGTTTTTTCTTTTTTACTTGAATGCTCAAATTTCAAAAGTAAAATATTGTTGTTTTTATGCAGCTATTATATGATATACGTATGCATGTATGTATAAAAAATATTCAATACAAACAAAATAATAATTAATGCGCAGTGTTGTTGCTGTGATTGCCACTTACAATATACATATACTCAGGCCTTAATGCAATATCAATAAAAAATACATATGTAGATGCTTATGTATACAAACTTTTATATTGTATATAAACAAATTACAAAAAAAAACAGGAAACTTATACATTTACACACATATATTTCAATGAGAAGGACGAAAGCGGTATATTTAAATTTGTATTTTGGATGCACATATGAACATATGAACCTATGAATGTATGTATGTATGTATATATATGGTTGAATGAATGTTTATTTATAAAATGTTAAAATATGTATCTATGCATGCGAAAGCATTGATGTACATACATATTTTGAATGAGTGAAATACAATGCTCACAATGGTACTTAATAAATATTTTAGATTTTTTTTTTTAATTGTAAACATAGTATATGTACATAGTTTAGTAAGGCTAAGTCAGTATGAAAGTCAGCGCATTCTTTATTTTGGAAGATTTCGAAAGTAAAACCTCAACTTAGTGGTAGCTGATGCCCCAAAGTGTCGAACGCATGTACATATAAATATGTCGTATATGTGTGCGTACATACATACCTACACTTCCATTTGCATGTATGTATATATGTATGCAGTTAAACATAGGTTTAGGTGTTAATTGAGTTGAGGTGAAACCTTCAGTTTGGTTTAATTAGATTTAGGAAAGTGTTAAAAATATTTTAACGCTAAACTTTAAACTTTTTTGATGAGACGCAATGAAATAAATATTCTGCGAGTTGTATGTGATGATGGTGGACCATTAGTTAGTAGCTTGTTAGGTTTTTATTTTGTTGCAAAAAACTGCTTTTCAATGGTCGTATGAATGATTTAGTTGCTTTGGAAGTGCTGATTAACTTACTGCTAAATTGCAAATTTCCGACAACAAATTAAACGAGTTTAAAGCCAACAGGCTAGACATGAAACAAAAAAGTTTTAATAAATTTTAGAATAGCTACAATGGTACGGAAAGATTGTTTTTTTTTTTAGTATGTATGTATGTATTTTAGAAAACCGCCTAAGCGAAACTTTTAGGGCTTACTTTTTAAAATTTCTTTTAAATAGGTTCTGCTTGTTATTTGTAAGACGCTTTTGTTTAGCGTAAGTGTTATATGCAAGTCAACCATTTTTTTTTTATTTGGATAGCTAAATTTTATTTCGGTGTTAGTTTATAGAATTTTGTAAAGCAAAATTTAAATATATAAATCATATTTTATAGACTTCCTATTGGTATTCTTATTTACATTTACATAATTTCTATTTTATTTTGTTCGATACGATTTTTTTTTTCAATTGGAGTGGAGATGGTTACTATGGATACTAATATGTACTTATGTATGTTTATTATTATTATTACTATACCATATATCGTATATGTATGTATGTATGCTTTTAACTTAAGTGTAACATTTTTAACAATTGAGATTTAGAGATGTAACTTTTTTCACTATTCGCTAATAATTTCAGTTTTCCATGATTTTTTCTTTATTAAATTTTTGAATCGCTGATTAATGCCACATAAAATTTTATTATTTTGTTAGCGTAAAATTGGCTGCTAAGCAAGTTCTTAAAAAAAGAAAACATATTACTGTTGCTTAAAAAAACTGAAAGTAAATTTCCTTGGCTCATAAAAGTTTTTAGCAAATAACAAATTTTTTATAATTACTTCGTATATGCTATATGTGTGTATGTAAATATTTGTAATTTCATCCATTTAAATTGCTACTTTAGGCTTAATTATGTATGTATGTAGTTTGTTAAAATCAAAATATTGCATAACATTCGTTAAAATGATTTTTCTCAGTGTATTTGCAGTGTTGTGGCATTGCTTAGAACGCGTAAATTTGATTGGTTTAGGGCGTGGCGTTTGTGTTTAGTAGATTTATAGTTTTTTGTGCCACATTTTATAATGATACCGTTAATTTTAATGCACATACATACATACGTATATGTATGCATGTAATTATTCACCAATATGTTATAATTTTGAATTTTATGCCATTTCTAGCGCTGAATTTATATATGTTTAAATTTTTTATTTTGCCTAAAAGTACTACTACATTTATGTGTTATCAAGATTTCACTTTCTGATATTGCAATGTTACATCTGTCTGTGGCATGATCACATGATATTTATATATTTATGTATGTATGTATTTTTTCACTTCATTAAAATTACATATGCTTGTAAGTATGCTTAGTTAAAACTGGTATCTAGTTTCCATAAACACATTTATTAGAGTTTCTAGAAAATAAATTTTATAGCTCAAAAAGAAAAAAAAAACTCAGCACTCTAACTACAAACGTTTGTAATCGCTCCACGATCACTTAGAGAATATAAAATCAAAACTAAAATTTTTCACTTAAATTTCCTCCAAATTTCTGCTATATAAATTAGTTAAAGTTTTGTTTTTCTTTTTAATTTTTGCTTACAAACTACTCACGCTAAGTTTAGAAAACATACGGTATATTTTGTTTAGGTTTTTTTTTATAATGTAGATTCAAAAAATCTTTGCTTGCTCACTGGTTGCCTGTTTAAGACTTTCACATTTTGCACAGTTGCCACACGAAAGTTCCCCTCCCTCTTCTCCTCTACCCTACGTCGCTTAACTTAACTCATTTCCCAGTTTCCACACTCTATCGTCTTTTGCGGCACTTCTTTCCCCTTCCAATGCATTTTCCACTCTTTGAGTAATGTTTCGCGCTTACGCTGCATCGCATCGCCGTTGTTGATTCCTTCACAGATCATCTTCTGTTTTGGGTATGTCGAAAATTTCCGCAAACAGTGGTGGCAATCGCAGTTTAGTCCAATTCATTCGCAGCCAGTCTAAATGTGAAAAATGTTTGGCGCCCAACGAACGCAATTCGGGTATTTTAGCCTCCAGTGCCGGCATGAGTTGTAGCGCTTGTGTGGAACCGGCACGTGAACGCACCAATTGGACACGTAACGCTTCGGCTACGCGTTCGCGCGATCTTGAAATCACTTTCGGTTCAGCGAGGCCGGAGCGATCGGAGGCGAGCAATACCATGGCAGAGAAGAGGCCAATTTCGGTATCGCTTAGGCCGTAACTGTTGAGAGTGTTGGCGAAATTCACCAGCGAGATGACGAAGTCATTCTGAAAATAAAAAAATGTTTGAATTAGTATGTTGAACAATTTATTTTATAAGAAACTAGCAAATACCCAGCGTGCTTCACTGCGCCTTAAAAGTTTTTTTGTGTTTTTCGATACCCGTATTGTATTAATTTCATCATTTATTTTATCAATTTATCTGAATACATTTTTTCTAACAAATGGCAACGCTCCTCAAAAATATTTTCGGCAGTAAACTTTCCTAAACATCTTCAGTTTGATACCCATATTGCAATATTCAATTTATCCTATTAATTAAATTAAAATTTTCAAACAGGTGGCAACTTTCCACAAAAAAGTTTTCGGATGTAAGTCTTCTCAAACCTCTTTCTTTTAACAGCCATATTGGAATATTTACTTTATCTTATCAATTTACTTAAACTGCAGTTATCAAACAGGTGGAAACTCTCAACTTTTTATTTCTATATTTTAAGTTAGACTTCTAGAAATACATCAGTGAAAACTGAATTCAATTCTATGCATTAGTTTTCAAGGGATGCGCGTGCAAACATACAGACAGACTGACAAAAATTGTAAAAATTCTTGATTCTTGCTCTAATAAAGATCCCCATATTAATTTTCCTTTAATATCTTTTGTTCACAAACATCGGCCTGTTACAATTTTATTATATGTATAGATGCCTGTAAATTTGATGTTTATTTTAATAACTTGCAGAGTTCTCTGGCATTCTAGCCCAGCATTGTAGAATTCAATCCTGAAGGGTGTTTGGACACCTGGATTATGAGCGTAGTTGCAAACTGACGAATTGGCATGGGAATGTACGACCACCAACATCTTTTAGAAATGGGTGCGGTAGGTATACCAAGGACCACCATAGAATAGCAATTACCGAAAAAACTCGATTTATAGAATAAGAATAACCAAACAGGCCTGTTGAAGTCTAAAAAAGTATTTAGCTATTTTGAAACTAATCAGAAAAGGCCAGCTTACTCTTCCGGACCATAAGGAATATATTCTGAATATGCTGTTTTTGGCTGACGTTTCACAGAACTAAATTGCTCACGAATTGTCTAGACAAGACGAGGGCCCAGTGGCTAGATAGATAGATAGATTTGTTAGATTACATGTACACTGCGACCTTAGGTCTATTGTGCCCACACAGAGCCCATCACCAAACAATAAGAAGGATAATTTCCTCGCCTACGGTTAGTAATATTTTTTGAAATTTCCGTGATCGTATAAGGATGGAGCCAGATAGTAGTTGAAGTCACAGTATTTGCTAACGTAAGATTACGCTATGTCAAGATTTGGGCTGCGTGTCCAGCTTTGTATTTATCATCCGCTTGTCTAAGCACTCTATTAGCATTTTGCGAGAAGAAACCCCGGTTTTGATATATCGTGATTGAGCTTGTATGTATTTCATAGTGACTGCGCGATGAATATAGCTCCATTCCTTAAGTTGTCTTTCGCCTGAGGTTTTAGATTGGGTTAAGTCAGGGTTAGGTTAGATGAAAGCATTTCAGAGAACGTGAACTGGACGTGATATATTTACATGAAGTTCTGCAGGCAGTTCGCAGTTCCGTGGAAGGTTTAATAAAATATGAGCTTAGGTATTTAAACTTTAGCCATACGAAAGCACAGCAGCTGAGAAGTAGTTCCACTTCGACATCCTCGCTTGGCTAGTTTGAGAAGCGCCTTTAATCACCAGGAGGACTTTGCAAGTCGGAGCTTTCGCGCAGCGCTCGCTAAGGAGACTCAAAACCCATTTCTATACTAGCAGTCCACAGGTTGGTACAGTGACTCCTATATATTCTCTGGTAAATCTATCAGCCATGTAATTTTTTCGATGCCTCTGTGCTCTAATATCCAATCAGGCTGCTTTGGAAGTAAACGGAAGGGACTGAGAGAGCAGCCACACTTTTCCTGACCAGTTTCGATTATAGACATTTCTGATATTTTAGATTTACCCATAAAAATCTAATGTCCATTTGCGTGTTTTCTTTCATGAGCAAACTGCCACCAATAATGAACACAACTTGGACTTTCTAACTCAGACTGGGCCGCCATTTCCTCAGCTGGTAATAACTGTGGTCGTCACCGGAAAAGGCGGTCTCATTCGAGGAGTTACCTTGATTTTCAATGGAAATTGCATTTTCATGACGGGCCTCAAACCGCACGCACCATTTGGGGTTTTATGTGTAATTTATATCAAGAGTCGCTTGCTCCAAGACTGCCAGCCATTTGTAGCCGCACCTTCTAGTGAAACAAGGCTACCGCATCTCGAACATGGGTTGCTCACGTTATCCAGATTTCGTTAGCGCAGATGTAGAGTTGAAGTTGGTATACTTAGTTTCACAACTGTAACTGCATATCAAGAAGGACAACCTGTCACTCTTAGAAGTGCGTTTATTGGTCAACCTAGACTTACGAAAGCCAGATTGGTTTCCGAGGCTTTGTCCTTTACATGCCTTAGAAGAATTCCGTCTCATCCCGGTGATTTAGAGTCAGCGATTCTGGCTTGAGTAGTTATTATCTTTAGCTCTCTATCTACACTGTTCGCTGAGAATTCGCAGCCTGTTGTCAGCTGCCCATTTTCGTAACTCTGCAATTTCATAATTCCATTAGTAAGCCGGGGCTCAAAAGGTCTTGGTGATATGTGTGGGCTCCACGGCTGACCATAATTCGTTTCTTTCCATATTTATGAAGACTTTGTGGGCATAGCATTACCAGATAAACTACGACCACATTAGACAGCTAATCACTGAGTACCGGGGGAAATGCTTGAAGGACATCGCAGTCCTCTTAGCAAACTGGAACACCTTCCTGTATCCAGGTTCCCAGGAGACTAATCCTCTGTCTGCTAAGGGAAGGACACTCGCAGAGGATATGCCCGACTTTCTCATCTTTCGTTCTGCATGTTTTTCTTATAGTTTTGAGATGTAACCGCCTAAGCCACTTTGGCCGAGTTCAACAAAGCCTGCCAGTCTTTCCTCTTCTGTTCTTCTCCATTTGGTCTCTTCATTAAAGTGGGGGCCTCTCACTTCCTCTGCTACCACCAGCAGGTTCAGGACTGGAGCGTCAGTGTCCAGTCAAACGACATGGCCAAGCCAGCGGAAGCGCTGTATTTTAATTAACTGCATCGTCTGCAGTACTCGCCGTTGCCAATGCGGAAAGGCCCGTAAATCTTTCGCAAAATCTTTCTCTCGAATACTCCAAGAGCTTCTGCGCCACATACCAGCACGGGCATGCTGAGTGACTTATAGAGTGTGGTTTTAATACTTCGACAGAGGACTTGACTCCTTAGTCCAATGTAGCACTTTTGGCATGAGTGATTCTGCGTTGGATTTCGATGCTGACACTATTATCGGTGTTCAAACTGGTTCTGAAACCCCTACAAGTCTTATCATTGGTAGGGGCCAGCTTGAAATGTCCTGTTAGAACACACACCAGGAGCCTAGCGTCCTCCTTCTTGAGGAAAAGGAGAAACCTCGTGAGCTTGGAGGGACATCAGTACTTCCATCAGCAGGGGCAGGGCAGGGCGCCTTATTTGGCGAAGCCTGTCGGCCTCATCGTTGACCGAGATGCCACGGCCGGTGTGCCCCGAAACTCAGTACAGATGTGCGTCAGTACAAGTATGTAGTATATCCAGAGCTGCCCTGCATTCCGTCACACTTCTTAAGGAAGTGGTGTGCGATAGTAGCGCCTCTATCGCAGCCTGACCGTCGATGGAATAAGTAACTAGTTATGCAATTTTTTTTACTTACATCATAGAGAATTTCGAGTTGTTGTCGTGTCAGATAAGTGCCATCATCGAATGTCAATGTTGCGTCATTTATCATGCGTGCCACATGGCTGAGCCACACCTCGAAGAAGCCCAATTTGATGAGTATCAGCTGGTCGTCTTGTGTGAAATCACAGAAGCCGGGCACACGTTTCGCGAATTCGACGATGCGTTGAACGCCGGGTGTAACGCGCGCCGCATACTGTTGCCACAGCCAAATCTTCTGAAATTCCATTGTTTCCGATACTGAAGTGGCAATCTAAAAATGAAAATCGAAGAACAAAATGTTACAATTTAAATGTATGTAAATATATTTAGAAAAAAATTTAGAGTTTTTCTAAATACCTATGTACATGTGTACATACATATGTAACTACTTACTCCATTTTGCGGCACCGCCACTGGTCGCCGCATCAGTTCGCGTGTCTGCTCCTCCGTATATGAGCAGTGCATACGATGCGCCTGTGAGACGCACATAATCACATCATAAACGGTCAGTTCAGCGGTTGTTCCTTGCATATCGACAACACCACAACCGCTATTATCAGCATTCGTAATGCTCATATTTCCACCGCCACCAACTACATTCATACCGCTGACATTAACGTTAACATTGCCGCATTGTCCCATCATACTGCCAGCACCGCCGGCACCAACACTGACACTCATATTAACACCCACACCCATACCACCAACGCCACCCGGTCCGGGTGTGTTGGCTGTGTTAGCGACACTACTTTGGCCCGTACAGCCCAATTCCGAGGGTGACGAGGCGACTGAACACATTTGTGGCGTTTGCGGTGTATTCGGTGTACTCACACGCACAATGACATTCGGATCATCCGTAGACGAAGGTGTGCCATTTAGCTCACGTGAACGCTTCGGTACGCGACCATAACGAACAGCTGGAATGAGAAGAGTAGGAAAATATTTAAAATTAGTAATATGCTTACATATGTTACAGAAGTTGTTGTACATTTATATTAAGAATTTAGTTCTAATAGGAAATTAAATGTTTTTGATTTGGTTTGGTTTATAAAGTCATTTATCAGTAAGAAAATTTCGATCACATCGATATAATATAATATTAGCAGCAATAAAGTTATGCATCAGGGACGGTAACGGTTATGATATTTATAATAAAAATCATAATTTAACCGTTATTTTATGATTTTCATTTTTTCGATCCAGATCACTCGCTTGTTGGATTTTTATTTTTCCGACAAATTTTTGATCGTTACTTTTTACTTTTATTTTTTCGATCAAACAAAAAAAAATAAAAATTCAAAATTATCAATTTTGTTAAAAAAAAATAAAAAAGAACAATTAAATTTGACCGAAGAAATAAAAATTCCAATTTAACGGTTATTTTGGTTGAAAATAAAAAGTAACGAGTTTGCAATGATCCAAAAATAAAAATTTTGAATTTAACGGTTATTTTCCTTTAAAATGGCATTCAATCGTTAGTGCATATTTTGCAGCAAATGCATGGTTTTACAAATCTTGCAAAAAATAACTGTTTCTGCATATTTATTGTGCATATTTTAGTATATTTTACAATAAATGCATATGTTTTTGCATATTGTTTTTTTTTTTTGATTTACTACCATTTAAATTTAGAGCGAAATCTCTTGACAAAAAAAAATACCTTTACTTTTTCCCCAAATATTTATGTGAATAACTCCTTGGATACTCAAGAAATTTTAAGGCACTATCATCTACCTCTGTTAGATTTCAATTAGTGGAGTACTGTAGGAGAGAGCTGTCTAATACAAAATTATCCGAATATGGGTCCCGGGACATAGGGACATTTACGGAAACGGGGCAGCGGACGAACTAGCAATGTGCGGTACCGCACTGAATGTGTCCCACGCAAAAATTACCGAAATTTATCACTTGAAGACCAAGCAGAGGTGTCCTACGACCCACTTAAAACCAAAGCTTTCTTAGGAATTAGCAAAGAAGATACCTACAAACTTACTGCAGTGTACACAGGGTACTGGCCCGTTGGGGTACAACAACAGGTTCTGTCGCAATTGCAATGGTCCTGACTCTTCTGTGCGAGTGTCCAGCCCTCGAAAGGATGAGGCTTAAGACACTCGGCAAGCCATTCCTGCAGAATGTTTTAGAGTGCAGCTGCCTCTCTCTGTATGACGTACCGAAATTCCTCAAATCCGCCAAATGACTATAGGTTGTACGAGTTGTGGAATCAAAATGGCAAACTTGCTAATTACTTGTCACCAAGTCACCAGTGACAATCCACTTAAATCAACCAATCATTCAACTGAACCACTATTAAACTATCAATGTTTCTATTTACACAAGATTGTAACTGTCTGCTTGATTATAAACTAATTTTATACATAATATGCTTTGTATTTTGAAGTAAATTGTTTTCGCTATTTTCTTGTTAAAGTCATGTGTTATTTATATTAGGAAAATATTTTTAATTGCATATTTTATTTGTTTATAGCGCATATTTTCGATTTTTTAGTGCATCAGATTCCGAGCCCTAATAATAATTATACTAAATGAAGCGATAATGAAATGATGAAATGTATGTATGCATGTATGTACCTATAATGTAGTCGATACATAAATATAACGATAAATATAATGTAAAATACATATTTGATAAATATTAGTATCGATATCGTTCAGGAATTCAGGTAAAAGTGCGAAAGAAGATCTCTTGTTGAAACGTTAGCAAAATACCTAGTTCCTTCCCGAGGAAAAATATGATAGATCTTACTGTCAATGTAACTATCTATTTGATCACCGATATTTTTGTTGATATCGTTAATCCATTGCTGTAAACAAGTTTATGCATATCACTAATGGTATTATCGATATACAAATTTATCGATATCGTTTTCGATGTCTATATTTATCGATATATTAGTACACGTAATAAGTGATAGATATATCAATATCGTTAGCGTCATCGATTTTCGACCTACAAATACTTCCAAAAAGTGTTAAGAACATAGTCTCAATTACATTGAAATATTGGCAGAGTGATCTTTATGATTAATTTAAATAATAGTGATTGTATACTTGTTGATACCTAGAATAAACACTCCTCTGATTAGTATACTTGTACACACGTCTAAGTATTATTTCAACAATAGCATCCGATATCGTTAATTTTTACGCAAAGTGTTAATGTTAGTTATAACATATAGCCCCTCACTGAAATCCCATCAAATTCTTTTCCATGTAATTTTTTATTATAACTAACCTTGTCCTCTTTTCTGTTCGCTATGTAATGCTTCATTGGTTTCGAAAATTAAAAAAAAAAATTGATTTTCCATTCGGCGCGCATGTGGTTTACGCATTAGTAAATATAGTAATCATGTTGGCTACTTATTCCAGATTAGCTAGCCTTGAAGTCGATGCGATTTATTGCAATTGCAGTTGTAAAATAATTCTGAATTGGAGTCTATGTTTGAAGTACATAAGTATATTAGCGTCTACGATCGACATTGCCGCCGAGCGTGCTCATATTTACACATACATACCTATTTTTGTATGTATGTATGTCAGTGGCGGATCCAGCGGGAGTGTTTTAATATGGCGCATATGTATCTATAATATGGCGTCTATGTATTATTTTTTTAACTGTTGAGTAATAAATTGTTAGGTTCCAAGGACTAAATCTAGCAAACAGATGGTCTTAATATTAATCCCTCTTCGGCAACCATTGTCCCTTTCAGCAGGAAGATAATTCTCAAGGAGATGAGGAGCTTAGCCTTGTATGGGATCGAGATCAATGTCGTCACAGAAATGAAGTATATGAAGTCTTACCTTAGACTCCAAACTCCTGTGGTGGACTGATATTGAGGCGGCCACCTCCGGGGCTACAAAGGAATTGATGGTGTGCAAACGTCTAGCGGGAAAATCCTAGGGATGCATGCCAAGGATCCAAAGGTGGCTGTAGATCATGATAGTACGATCAATAATAACCAATGTGGCAATGTGGCTTAGGTGTACAAGACTATTCTGGCAACGGTAAGGCAGTTTCAACGCTTGGCGTATGTTTGCATCAACTCCAGCCACTACATCTTATATTTCGCGAGAGAGGGCTTTGGCAAAAGTAAGGTCTTAACATCTAAGATGTGGGACAAGCTAGGCCCCAGATCCTACAAGCTTTGTTCACCAGAGACGATATGTTTAGAGGAGTAGTTTTCGAAAGAAGCTTTTAGGTTGATATATACAGCAAGGCGACCTGGAGTCCCTCTATTATGAAGGTGCACATCCAGATGAGTACAATGCACTAACGGATCAAATACCCCTGAGGGTATTGGAGCAGTCGTATATGGCAATAGATTGCAGCTTTCAGTGCCCTTGGAAACCTTCCTAATCATCTTCCAAGCAGATGTCTGTCCATTTAGCAAGTGCGAAGACATCAACCTTCGTAGGTATTCTTGAAATGAGAGGATCCTTATACAAAGCGATAGTTAGGCGGCACTCAGGGCTCTCTCATCCTTCGAGGTCAGTTCCTCATTGAAGTGTATTGAGAAGTTTAATGCCCTGGCTGAGAACACTGCTATCCAACTGATATGGGTACCAGGGCACATGGGAGTCGAAGGAAATGAGGAAGTTGATGCAAGTGCTTAGAAAGGAAAATACCAAACTGAGGGAACTGCATTGGCAAAACACTACGGGTTTACTAGGGGGAGTACAACCTAAAAGAATACGTTACTCGGAAATCTCCCCAAGGTGAGACTAGGAATTATTCTTCTTTTTTTTACCGGTCATTGCAGGATAATGGGACACTCGCACAATCTAGGGATCTGGTTCAGCGATCTATGTCGCTTTTGTGACTCCGCCAGAGACAAATATTACACCCTATCCTCGAGTGTGAGGCAGTTTCACGGAAAAGGGAGCTCTATGGTCAAGAGTTCTGCTTTGAAATTTATAGAGCCAAACAGGAGGATCAGTTGGTGTCAAAAGTGGCATTGTTAAATAAAATGCCTAAAGAGAAAGTTTTGGCAAAGTGTTTGTGCATTGAGGACTGTGAAACTCAAAACGGTATTGGCAAAGCGAGGTTTGTCCATGTCCGGTTAATGGAATGAAATGAATTAATAAAGACATCCACTTAATTTTTAAAATTGAGTTTTTTTTTTTTACTTTTACCAACTATAACTCACCGTATTGAAAGCTTGTTCATAACAATTCATAAACTTTCTGAGTTATAGCTGATCAAATTAAAAATTATAATACATTTTTTCAATAAAAAAATAATATTTTTCGAACCTTACCCCTAAAAATTTGTTTAAAATTTTGAAACTTTCGAGGATGTCTTTTTTTTTTGTACGTAGATATTTTAAGAACCACCTTAGCGAATACGTGGAGCTACGGAGATATCCACGAATGATGTAGAAGAGGTAGAATCCTCTTTGTAAGCCAAGTGTAGGCATTTGTGTATGTTAGTGGCTGTGGAGTATGGTGTCGCAGATTACATCGCAGAAGCATTTCATAACAGATTTCAACAGAGGTATCATCACCACTGAAAACACAACTAGGATTATACGTACGAGACACTTCGAGCACACTATAAATATGGACGAAAATGCCAAGTACTTTTAGAAAAAAAAATTAAAAATTGAAGCTGGCACTCTATGATACTAAAATTAAATTAGCTATAAAGCTCCATATCTAAAATTTTTATAAAAAAAAATATTAATTTCGGTTAAAACCTTTTTAACAGGGCTGTGCGATTATTCGATTACTCGAGCAAGTTGGTTAATCAATTATTCGGTTAATCAATTACTCGAGTAATCAAGATTTTGATTACTCAAAACAATGATTAATCGAGTTACTTGAAATATGATTACTCAAAAAAATAAATTTGCTCGTTAAAAGAGTTTACTTTGGAAAATGCTTATTTTCTTTTTACATT